GGATTGGGATGGAATAAAGAAACTTTTCTGCCCTCGACTACACCGTGACATATGGAATGAATATGAAAACCAAAACCCAAGTTTATGGACCAGAAGGGAAGACCCGCCCCGGCCGGGCCGCCCGTCTCACGGTTTCCGCGAGCCATCCGGTTCGGACGAAAACCGCAATATGAGGTTCAATGTTACTGCATAAGTGTGTGATTCATTACGGCAATGTTACAACCCAAACCTATGGAGATTCTTTAACGAAGATGTGCTTCCAAAGATGTATCACACCATGTTACTGTAGTGTGTTAATGTAGCATATCCCTGGGATATTATCCCATACATTATCACCTCATACGTCATTCTCCACATGAGAAAGACGCGATCCATGCGAGCTAAACAGGAACAATAGATATATTAATTATTCGACAACATGCTCGAGTCATATCGCATCGTATCAATCGAGCCATAGATTGAACTCAGGCCATCAGCAACACTTCAACACGAGGAATCACGCTCTCGATAAGTGAAGCGTGTGCGACCCAACATACCGGCATTTTCTCTCCGGCATTTTCACCATACTTGAGAGGCTAGCCGTTAGCGTAGAGCTCTATGTTTCACGGCTCGTTTGAATTTAGCTTTCTTATTTCCAGCCCTTTCACTGTAGGCAGGTCACACCTGCGTAATGTGCGTGAGAGGTTTAGACGCGCTCTTCCAGTCCCCCCCCCCACCCTAGGAGCGCGCATATGCCATCATGGCATATATTGGGACTTTGGGTAAAGCAGGTGCCCAGCATCAAGAGGGAGGAACGGGCCCGGGATAGCGATAGATAGATAGCGGGACCAGTATGCACCATCTCTTGACTTGAGACATGCTGCTGACTCCTCAGGCGTCTCCAGAAGTTCAAGGAATATCGTGACATGTAAATTGTGCTCGCCGGTGGTTTCACGCATGCGTATGATCAATGCTGGATATAACGCCAGCACAAGGCACTCTACCTTTCGGGTAGTACTCTGGTTCAAGTAAATATTGATGAGGGACTCGAACGGCCAAACGGAGCTGATTTACATAACAGCGATATAGCTAGTACGGGCAACAAGCTACAGGCCGGTCGATCAGATGATATACGGTTCATTCCAGCACACAGTCACTGTTCACGTAGTGTACGTGTGCGCTCTTATAACCCAGCTACTGTGCTCATTGCCAAGGGTCAATCCAAACAGTCCTTGGATTGACCTTCTGGTATTCGGTCATCTCTCCGTTGTGATAGATTTCTACGTCGGAATCGTACGATAGAGTTCACCGAAGTAATGTGGTCTTTTTTTGCGGAGCACTGCTCTGTTACATATTAGTGCAGTTATTGCAGCTGTGTATAGGGGCACGAATGCGTAATCATTGAAAGGCTACTCGTATACGAATTGGTGACGTCTTCCGCTAGCAGCTTGAGGACCCTCAATGAGGGGTCCTCCCTTTATCTACCAATTGGCCGTTAAGGAAAGAACCATTCAAGTCAGTTGAGTGTTCGAGCGTCTCGCAATAACTCTATCCCAATGTCCTTCCTCAAGAAGATCATCGCCATTCTGGGCATTTCATCGATGGTTCAGTGCTTCCCACCAAAGTCGGAGTACTGCACCGACGTGAACTTGAAGCTAACTGCGGCTCTCTTCTTCCACACATGGGCTCCAGACTTGCTCCAGATACTCTACTTCTACATACAGGGCAGGAAGGTGGGCGTTAACGTGACTGGTACCATTCCTTGGACAGTTGATGCTAAGAATACCACACTAATCATGGATACCACTAATACAAACTTCACCTACTTCGCCGACTTTATGCACTTCAATCCGACCGAATGGGAAAGGATTCCCTTCAACGACAAGCTAGATGCGTTCACATTGTCTGTGAATGGTACTCATATCGAAGCATCTTCTGGCAGATGTCCAAAAGGTGGCCTCACAATTTTCGAGTAGCGTGGTAGATCGCTCATGAGCGTCTCATGAGTTCGTGCAGTCTGATTTATCGGGGCTGTACGAAGGACTTCAGGTTCTTCTCGGAAACTATTTCATCTTACTCAATCACTTTTTCCCACTCAGCATTATGGGAGACAACTACAGGTTAGGTATGGCCGTTTTCTCGAGATCATATCTTGAAATCCTTAACCGTATTGCTCTCGTCCGCGTTTAAGTCAATGGGCTATACAGTAAGTCATGGAATTCGAGTTTTCGAGTAAGAATGATCTCCTCTTAGTCGGAACGATCCTTTGTATTGGTAATGCTATCTGACATGACTTAAATTCGGTAACGCGCGACATGCTATTCGTCCCTGGAAGTACTAACAAATCATGGCAACTGAACACAACGCATTGGTACAACTCAGAACATCCCGAATCAGAGTCGGGTTACTAGTTCCAGATAAAGAAGCGAGAGTGCCTCAAGTACTCTAGAAATGCCCAGTCAACGGTTGGACTCTTATAGTAGTACAATGTCTGTTAGACAGAAACGATGAAGCAAGTCGTACGCTCAACACATCGTCGTGTGCCGCACGTCGTGTGGCGTTGATATAATCCCATGTCCTGATTATATATCCGATCTAGGGTATATATTGGAGAGTTGATAGTATCTGCTGCTTTAAGCACTTGTATTTCTTTTGGACCTCATGTTGTGAACAAGGACGGGTTTCACGTTGGCTTATCCCTTCAATGATAGTACGTCACGTTAGTTCATGCATTAGATGATAGTAACGCTACTCGATTATTATAACTGCTTCAAAGGAAACCAGATTATTTAGCAACTCAAATAACTAGCGAGAAAATCAATACATCTTCCCCGTAGAAAGGAGATTGCCGGTCTGCCATTCGAACTCCTTCTCATCACGATACAGCTTGCCGCTCATCTCGGGATCATACTCGACCTCACCGGCTAGCCAAGCCATCACTTGGGCACCGGTCTCGGCAGTGCGGGGGCCGCTGTGAATGAAAACAAATAACATGTCGACCAGAGCCATCAATTGAACTCGGGAGACTACTCGATAAGAGACGCAACTCACCCGCTCATATCTGTTTGGCACCAGCCTGGACAGCAGCCGGTGACGACTATCTTGCGAGAATCGGCCATGGCCTTTTTGGCCAATATTTTAGTATAAGCGATGAGAGCCAACTTGGACATACCATACATACTGTTACTGAAGCCCCGCTCCTTGTAATCGCCCTCCTTGACCCCGGTGATGAACTCTTCCACGAGGGCGTCGATCGACTCTTCGGTGGCGTTGGGATCTGCAAACCTCTTCTGTAGGGAGTCAGAAACCTAACGACGGTAGACCAATCCGAGACCTCGACCGACTCGTCATACACTCACCTGACACAACCTACCCATGAAGCTGCAGACGTTAACGATTCGACCGTGTTCACCGAGGAGGGGATAGAAAGCCTTGGTCACACGCTTAGCGCCGTAGTAGTTGATTGCCATAGTCAACTTTGCCTGATCATGCAATCAATAACCTACTTATGATGATATCGTGAATTCACCTCTTCGTATCCGAAAATGTCACCGCTATAGGCGATGCCGGCGTTGTTAACTAGACCGTCAATAGCAGGCGCCAAACGTGATATCTGTAGCACATAATATGTCGCAGTCGAACCAGTTGCAGATCCACCTCTCGTTTCGCTTCTTCTACTGATGCATCGTCAGTCACATCGAGCTTAACAGCGCCAAACGGCTTCAACTTATCTAAGCATTTTAACAATTAACAGGAGTGGATGCGGCGGCAGTTTCTTACTAGCAGCCTCATCAAGTCTGGCTTGATCTCTGGCAGTCATGATGACCTTGGCACCATCAGCGATAAGCTTTTTAGATATTTCGTATCCGATGCCCTGTGGCACCAGTACGATATACTGGACTCATCAAAGTAATAAATCTCTACGATAAGTCTCAGTGAGATGCCCAAAGCTAGTCCTGTCGGAACCG